GGGTTATTAAATTTAGCCAGCCTGCAGTTAATCCTCGTGCCCGTGACGTTCATAAATTTACTGCTTTGGCTGCAGACTTTGGCAACATGTCTTGGGTTGACATTCGGGCACGGGGATTTTGGAGGTCAAACAGGGTCCTGGTCGCCCATTATTTGGTAAACATTCCTGGTCCTGCGCGTTCGTGTGTGGCTGTGGGTTGCAGGTTGCAGCCAGTTGTCTCGACTTTGAGTTGAGTCGTGAGTGGCGGCCACCTCCCAGGTAAGTCCCTCTTTTACTTATCTTGGGTTATATAGGTCCAGGGAGCTGAAGGGGTTCTCCTCAGAAAACCAACATTGAATGTAATGAAATGCCATTTTCTGGGTGAGCCCCAGTGGCTTCCTGGCACCCTCCTTCCCTCCGGTCAGCGGTTTCCTTTTCCTTTTGATGCTTAGCCTCTGAATTGGGGTTGAGTAACCGGCGCAGTGGGTCCTGGGTTCCCCCTCCCCCTCCTGGGGATATGAGGGCTGCGCAGACAAGCAGCACGATGGAGGTGGTGTGACGTTTGTTTTGTTTGTTTTTTTGAGAGTTGGAGGAGTTCTGCCTCCCTGTTTGGTTTTCGGTTGCAGTTTTCTTACCAAGTGGGGTTTCTTTTGTTATACCTACCTTTCTAGGTGCCTAACCCCAGTTGATGGCAGACAAGGAATAACCCCAACCATGGGGCTTTCCAAAGGCCATTGCTCCCTTGCTTCTCTATGAGGGGGGCCAGATTCTGGCTCATGGTCCCCGGTAGGCTGAACTCCATTGAATAATGCCCTAGACTAATATATCACATTTTAGCCTGATAGCTCCAGGCAGCCTCCGGGGCTCACCCAGAAAATGACATTTCATTTATTCAACGCTGTTTTTTTTCTGGGGGGAGCCCCTGCGGCTCCCCGGAGCTTACCAAGCTGATATACTAATGTCAGACTTTGGCATCAGTCATGTGTACGGACTTCTTATGGGCCTACCGGGGACCATGAGCCAGAACCTGGCCCCCTCAGAGAGGCAAGGGGAGCAATGGCCTATAGAACCCCCCGTGTGATTGGAAGCATTCTATGTCTGCCATCGACCGGGTTAGGCACCCAGAAAGGTAGGTGTCCCAAAACAAACCCCTATTCTAGTGAAAATTGCAACCAAAAGCCGAACGAGTGGATAGAACTCCCCAAACAAAAACGAGCAAACTAGCTCCCCCCCCCCCCCGGGAGGTGGAAGGGGGAGCTCCAGACCTACTGCGCCGGCGATCCACACCCCAGTTCTTGAGGCTGATGCTATCGACTCGGTTGTGTGCTCTAGCTCCGGTCTTTTTGCGGCGCTGTGCCTTGCGTGTGGCTGCTGTTCTCCAGGGGTGCGAGAACCAGGAGTTATTCCTCAGTACTTGGGCTGCATGCGCCTAGGGTTCCCTTCCCTTGGTGCCCAGTAAGTACTGCCCTTGGATCTTGGGGCCACCTTCCACAAGATCCTCGGGGTCTGCCTCTGTGTGTCCGTTTTACTGCTCGGTTTCTCAGCTGCTCTTTGGGTACTTGGGGGGGGGTTTTGTCTCCCCTAGTTTACCTTCGGGTAAGAGGCAGTTTTTGCACTGGTAGGGGCGCAGGGTGCTGTGCAGCTACTTGTCACCTATCACAGCGGCCGGCTCTGTTCCTTGGGGTACGTTGTCCTCTTGCAAGGTTTTGTTTTTGTTTTTGCCTTGGTGGGAGGTTCTGCCCTCATTGCCACTGGTGTTTGGCCTCACCCTGATACTTGGTGGTGCCCCCTGCTGGGTCCCTGTGAGTGTACACGTCCCTGGGGTTCAGCTTTAGACAGTTTGTTTGGTAGTTTTGGGTGCCAGTTAGCAGTACCCTGCCTGAGTTTACCTGAGCACGAGTCCTTTTCAAGTAAACACTCAGGACCCTGGGAATCTCCTAGGGGACATGTGGGTCTGATGGATGTGACCCCAGGGTCCCCCCTCGCTTTGTGCGAGTTTGAGGGTTGTTCGGTCCCTTTGTCTCAGGGCGATCCTCACTGTTTTTGCCTCCGTCATGCAGCCTGTTGGGTCGTGACACTTTCGACCCCAAGTCCTGTGAGCACTGTTGCTTGCTGGTGACTCAATTTACCCAGTCTATGGATGATGATCTTCGGGTACAGGCTGCACAAGTGTTGCATTCTAGGTTTCATTTGTTGCAACGTGCTAGGTTGGTTGTTCACCCGGATGCCCCGTGGCTGCCCCGTTTTGCTTATAGGGTCCCGGACTTGGGGGTGGGGGTCGCTTCGACCCTGGTTCAGTCCGCACCTCCTGGTCCTTCCCCTCCCGTTTTGCGTTCTGGTCCCCCTCCCTTGCTTCCGGCCCCGAAATGTCTGAGGGTTTCGGAGTCGGGGCAGGGGTTAGTTGGTCTTGGCACTAGGGCAGCCTCGGGGGATGCCCCTTCCGGTGTGGTGACTGAGGCATTCGAGTCTCCTCCCCCGGCTGAAGCCTCTGGTTCTGACCAGTGGGCCTCCTTCTATCCGCCTTCTACGGCTGTGCCGGCCTTGTGTAGTGGGGTCGGTGTCGGGAGTACTCGGTCCCGGGTCCTGCTGGAGAGGACTCTGGGGCTGGGAAGGGGCTGACTTGGGGTCCTTGGGCCCTGCTGGACCCCGCCTGGGTTTTTGTACCCTCTGAGCGGGACTTACTGTTGCAAAGAGTGGGGTTTTCTTTCCCCCTCTCTGCGTACAAGTTGAATTTAGTGTCTGCCCTTCCCCTGGTTCGGTTCCGTGTTCCCCCGAGTGCTTCGGTTCCGTCTTTCTGAAGGTTTTTGGCTTATCGCATCCAACCTGCTGCGGTGCGGGCAGCCCATGTGGCGAACCTCCTGCATGACCCGGATTATGCCTCGGCAATGGATCCCTCGACTTTCAAGTTTGGGACTTTGTTCCCTTTCTGGCACCGTTACAAGGTCCCGGAGTCGTCCTGGCTGACGGACTGTCCTGTCTTTGGCTCGGAGGCTTGGCACTCCTTCTGCCGTTCCCACACGCTTGAGTGGCGGGAGGCTTTGGCAGTGCTTCAGGTTTTCCTGGGGGGCGATTTTGAGCACCTCAATGAGTGTTTGTTTGCTCCTGCCCTTCACCGGGATGTTGGTGTCGTTCAGCTCCATGTGCAGGTTCCTCTCCTTTCGGCGGCGCAGGTGGCGGAGGACTTGCGTGCTCGGGGCCTTTTGGTTGCGGCCTTGTGCTTCTTTTCCCTCCTGGAGCTGTTTTCTGACTGGCTCACGGAGGATGTGGAGGTGCTTGGGGATGTTCCTGGGTCTGGCGCCTTGGCCTTGGCGGCTCGCTCGTCGGCTGCCTTGCTGAAGCTTTTCACGCCGATCTTGCGGGATGTGGTGGCTCTGTTTTATACCTCCCGGCTCGCGTGTTGGCAGACGGTGCTTGCCTCCTCTGTGGAATCCGCTTGGGCCTTGGCTCTTAGGCTTTCGTCCCCTTTTTGCCCTCTCTTGTTTGAGGCTTCAGCCGTTGCTCACATTATTCAGGCTGCTTCGGCTTCCTGCCGTCCTATGTCGGACTTGCTAGTTCTCTGGGGGTCCCGTAGGTCGTGCCAAGGCTCCGGGTTCCTCTCGTTGTGGTAGGCCACTGGTGTCAGGTTCGGGTTCGGCGCCTCCTTCGGACCCGCCTTCGTCTGGTCGGCACGGTGTTCGCTCTGTGCAAGATTTTGGGTCTCGTAAGGGGCGCCGGCCTTTTCGCGGTTCGCCCCATTGACGGGGCAATGGGGGGGAGGCTTGCTCTGTTCGTTCACGCCTGGTCCCACGATTTGTGTGCGTTTCAGGTCATTTCACACGGCCTCAGGTGGCATTGGGTGGCCCCTTCCCCTACGGGGGGTTCAGGGCTGGCAGGGCAGGCTTCTTTCCTTGTGCTCTGTCAAGTCATCTTGGACTGGGTTCGCTTGGGCGTGGTCGAAACGACGACGTCCCTCAGATGGGTTTCCCGTCTGTTTCAAGTTCTGAAACGGGACTGTGCGGACCTGCGGTTCATTCTGGACTTGTCTCGTCTGAACCCCTGGGTTTATTGACCCTCCTTTCGGATGACCACACTGTTCCAAGTTCGACTTCTGCTGGAGCCGGGCGCTTGGATGGTGTCCCTGGACCTCTAGGACGCTTATTGGCATGTCCCGATTCATCCGGGGTTCAGGGACTGGCTCGGTTTTGTTGTGGGGTTTTGTGCTAACCGCTTTCGTTGTGTTCGGTTCGGTTTGAACCTGGCACCTCGCGTTTTCACGCGCATGACGCAGGTTGTGGCGACACGTCTGCGTCTGTTAGGTGTTCGGGTGTTGGCCTACCTTGACGACTGGCTGGTTTGGGCTCCCAGTCTGTCCGCTTGTCTGCTAGTCAGGGATCTGGTTCTTTCTCAGCTCGCTGGGTTTGGGTTCTTGGTGAACTGGAGGAAGTCCCATCTGGTTCCCTCCCAGGTTCGGACCTGGCTGGGCCTTGTGTAGGACTCTTGGACCGCTTCCTTGTCTCATCCTCCAGAGTCTCTTCTGCAGCTGCGGTCCCGCTTGTGCCTGTTTCTGGGGGGCTCCCGGATCTCCTGGCGGTTGCTCGAGGGTCTGTGCGGGAGGGTGAACTTTGTGATACTGGTCTACCCGCCGGGTCGGGTTTGGCTTCGTCGGCTGTTCTGGTTCCTTCGGTAACATCCTTTCCACCTCTCTCGCGATCACTGGGTTCGGACCCCAGGGCCTTTGCGTCGGTTGCTGCGTCACCGGCTTCTTCTTCGGGTTATTCGGGGTTCAGTGCCATGGCGCCTACCCGAGCACTCGCTCGATGTGTTCCGGATGCTTCGTCTCTGGCTCGTGGTCCCCAGTAGGCCCATATGAAGTCCGTACACATGACTGATGCCAAAGTCTGACATTAGCATATCAGCCTGGTAAGCTCCAGGAAGTCTCTGGGACTCGCCCAGAAAATGGCGTTTCATTACATTCAACGCTGTTTTTTTTTTATTTATATCATAAGTTATGTCTACTGTACCATATTTTCATTGTTTTGCAGTTTGATGTCAAATGATGATCTCACATGAACCACTATGGAGTCTGACAGCCAAAATGAGTTACATGAAACCATTAACAATATTCAACAGACTGCAAACACCTATGAAGATCCTCAAGCCAGAGACCTACAGACAGAAATTCAGAATGAAAAAGCAGATTTGGAAGATCAGAAAAAGAAAATTGAGGATTCAATTATAGGGGAAGGGCTCCAGTATGTATCGCCAAATTCACACCAACCAGTGTTCCCAAATATACCTCAGAATGTGTCTGTAGTAACTTCTTCAGTAGTTCAGAACAACAGTACTGCATTTCACCAGGTAAAGAGGACAGTGTGTGTGTGTGTTTTTTTTTCTGCAACAGTATGATTCTTGTGGAAGTTAATTCTTGAGACATCCTATCACAAACTTTCATTCTTCTTACATACTCCTCAACTTTGTTCTGTTGTATTTGTTGCATTTCTTCATTCCTAATTTATGCTTTCTTCTTTTAAATACAGTGGTAGAGCACCTCCAAAATTAGGATTGTATCATTCTGGGGTTAACCACTGCACTGCGCAAAGCACCTTGAGGTGCTAGATTGGTGGCGCGCATGGCACCTCAGGGCACTCGTAGGTATAGCGTAGCATTCAAAACTTCCACAGCTACATGGGGTTCACATCAACTTCCTCAGGGCTCTCATAAACAGATGCTATTAAAAAAAAATAATCATGGGTAACATTGCCGGGTGTGAGAGCCTCAGTACTGAGTGAGCAATCAAGGCTGGCACACGCTTAGCATCAGCATCAAGGTTAGCATCAGCTAACAGCACTGCTGTTCAGCTTGTGATAACAGCATTGCCTAATAATGTCAAATATATATATGTAACTGGTATTATTTAGCCAGATAGTATTACAGAAGAGCCTGACTGTGATAAAGACTGTATACAATGTTCAGATATCAGTGAATCAATGCTGTTCAAGATGTTCACAGCACTAGTCACAGCACACAGTTATTGTTTCGTCCATCGAAGAATCTTCAAACGACTTTTCACGTTCCTTTACAAAATAAACTTGTGGTAAATTATTCAATGGTAATGGAGCAGTGGCCCATAATTTGCTCAACAGCTCCATCAGAGCTAAAATATGTCGCATACAATTTTTTCTGTGGGGAGCCCCTATGGCTCCCTGGAGCTTATTGGGCTAATGTATGTTATATTAGACCGGGACATTAGCTAAGGAGTTCAGACCTACCAGGGACCAGCACCAGAACCTGGCCCCTTCAGAGAGATTTCAGGGAGTAATGGCCCTGGAAAACCCCCTTGTGGTTGGGGTTTTTCTTTTCTGCCATTGACCGGGGTTAGGCACCCAAAAAGGTAGGCATAACAAAACAAACCCCACATGGTAAAAAACTAAAACAAAAAAACGAACAGAGAGGTAGAAACTCCCTACAATCCCAAGGAAACAAGCAAACATCACACTTTACTGACATGCCGATTGTCTGCGCAGCCCTCCCTGCCCTGAGAAAGGGGGGGGGGAGAGCCCCGGACCTACTGCGCTGGCTGCCTAGCATCAGTTCGTAAGCTAATGTCAACCAGGATAGACGCTTCTTTGGCCTCGGTTTCCTAGGCGGTGTTTGCCTTGTGAGGCATTCACTGCCGTGTGTTGTGTTGTGCGGTGGCCAGGAGTACCTCATCAGTGCTGGGGCTATAGTTCCACTGGTAGTGTTTGGTGGCTCTCTGCTAGGCCCTTGTGATTGTATACATCGCAGGGGTTTTCAGTGTTGTCCTCTACCCTCTTTTTATTTTGGGTTTCTTAACCAGTTAGCAACACCTTGCCCGGGCTTCCCGTAGCAGTCAGCCTACGGGCCCTGGAAGCCCCTGTTTGGGCTCGGTGAACCATTGAATGTGTCTTCCAGGTTCCAACCTGTCTTGTACAGGATCGTTGGTTGCTGTGCCCTTGTCTCCGGGTGACAGTCGCCACTTTTACCTCCGTCATGCTGCCTGTTGGGTCACTGTCACCTTGACCCGGAGTCTTGCGAGAGAGATTCTCTGCATGTTCTCCAGTACTCTCCTGATGTTATTACTGTTCAGAGTACAGGCGGCATCTGTGTTGCAAGCTAGGTTAAGTTGCTGCAACACGCTAGGTGGTTTCCCACTCAGATGCCCCGAGGCTGCCCCATTTTAGTTAGGTGCTGTTCGCCCCTTTCCCTCCCTGTTCCCGGCTCTGGACCGTCTGCAGGTTTTGGGGTCGGGGCAGGGTTTAGTTGGGGCCGAGACTCAGGCGATTTTCGGGTGCTGCCCCGTTCGGGTTGGGGACGGAAGTTTTCGAGCCTGTTCCTCCTGCCAAGGCTTCTGGGTCTTACCAGCGGCCCTTTCTTGCTGCCTTTCCCATGGACTCTTCCTTTTCTTTAAGGGCAGAGGGCTTGGAGGACTGCTCTGCCCCGGGGCCTCTGTTTGCGGGTTCCCGGGGCTGTGGGGAATGCCCGCTAGCAGTTCTGGGGCGGTTTGCCCCTGCCTGGGTTTTCTGCTTTTGGGCGGAGTTTTTCGCCCATCCAGTCTGCTTGCTTTCCACTTTTGCTGGCGTGTTTTCGTATCTTTTGTGTCGGTCACAGCCCTTTGTTCTGGTGGCCATTTTCTTCTGCTGGTTTCCCGGCGTGGCCACCAGGGCGGCATTGCGGTTTGTTTACATGTGCCGGGGTGTGCGAGCGAGCGTCTTGGGTGAGTTTTTTCACCTTTTTCTGGGGGGTTTATTCTCCTGTTGTCGTTTCTTTACTTTTCTGGTGTTTTCTGCCCGTTTCCTGTTCCTCTGGGAATGTTTGAGTGTTGATTTTATACCGGGTTTTCCATTTTGTCTGTTTTGGGTCTGGGCCCTTGGGTTTGGGCTCAGTGTCCCTGGCTGTTATGCTTGCTCCCACACCTTGTCCTTCAGTTTTCGGTCTGTTTTGACCGTTTCCCTGGGGGTTCTGGCTGGGGGCTGTGCTTTGCCTTCTGTGGTGTATCTCCGCCGGCAAATGTGGTGGTTTGGGCTCCCCCTGGTTCGATTCTGGGTTCCTTTGGGTTCTTTGGTTTCGTTCCGGAGGTTTCTTCCTCTTGGGCTCCCTTTGTGGGTTCAGGGGCTTTGTTTCCTCATGTGTGACCCAGTTCTGCCTTCTGGAGTTCTGGGGTCTTCCTGGCTTGCAGACTGATCTTTTTGGGTCTTGGCACGTGTTGTGGTTGTGCTGGGACTTTGAGGTTTTGTTGTCGAGGTGGGCCTTTTGATGCAGTTTTGTGTCTTCTTCGCCTGGCCGGCGTGGTGCTTGGAGCCCACTGGTCGGCGGCTTGTAATTTTTTTTTCACGTGTATGAGTGTGTGTACTCATGTACATGTGTACACTGTGTGTGTGTGTGCACATGTGTATGTGCATGCGCACGTATGTGTAACATACCTTGTGTGTATGTGTATATACATAATATGTATATATGTGTATATGTGTATGTATACTTTTTCTTTCGGAAGGGGCTCTGTTCCCTTCTCTGTTGACGGGGCGCTGGGGGAGCAGCTTGCTCTGTTGACTCTCGCAAGGTCCCGCAGTTATTGGGCGCTTTTGGTTGTCTTCCGGCCTCTGGTGGCGGCGGTGGACGGCTTCTTCCCCTTTGGGGGGTTCAGGACTGGCGGGGTGGGCTTCTACTCCTGCTCTTCGTCATGTCATCTTAGTGGGTGCATTGGACGTGGTCGATCCGCCCCATCCTTCTAGGGTTCCAGTTTGCTCTAAGCAGACTTGGGCCTGTCGAATCTGTGGTTCTTCTGGACTTCTTCAGTCTGCGCCCTGGATACTATGCCCTCATCGGAGGACTGTTGTCTACTGTCCGGCTTCTGTTGGGGCTGGGTGCCTGGATGGTGGCCCTAGACCTCCAGGTCAATTTTTGGCACGTTCCTCTCTAGTTTTCGGGACTGGCACAGTTGGTGCTGGAGCTTCAGGCTTCCCGCTTTTGTTGCCTTCCCTATTTTGTAATTGGCACTTGGTGTATTTATGCATCTCTTCCGGATCTTGTTGCCCCTGTCTGATTCTGCTTGGGATTCGGTGTCTGGCCTACCTCGACGACTGGCTGGTGTGGACTCCCAGTCAGTCCACTTGTCTGCTCGCCAGGGGTGTGGTTCTTTCCAGATCGCCGGGTTTGGTTTCCTGGTGATCTGGAGGCCATTCCATCTGTTTCCGTCCCGGGTTCGGACCTGGCTGGGCCTTGTTTAGGGCTCTTGGGCCGCTCCTTGTCTTTCCCTCCAGAAGTGTTGCTGCGGCTGTGGTCCCGCCTTCGGCTGTTCATGAAGGGGTCCCGGGTTTGCTCAGCGGTTGCTCGAGCAGTTGTGCAGAAGTCTGAACTTCGACGTGCTGGTCTGCCCGCAGGGTCAGGGTTTGGCTTCGGCATCTGTTTGGTTCCTTTGGAGACTCCCCTTCCGCCTCTCTTGCAATCGTTGGGTTCGTTCCTCCGGAAATCTTGTGTTGGTGTTGCGTCACCAGCTTCCTTTTTGTTTTTTTCGGGGTTCCGTGCCTTGGCGCCTCCCCGAGCCTTCGCTCGATGTGTTCACGGATGGGTCATCTCTCAGCTGGGGCTTTGTGACCAGTGCTCACCAGGTCGGCCGGGGATGGTGGGGTCTGTCCGTCCGTCGGGCTCACAACACAGTTTGGGAGTTCGTGGCTGTCTGGTTTGCGCTTCAGAGGTTTTGGGTCACTCGGTGCTCTACCATTCAGCTCCATTTGGACTGTTCTCTGGCAGTTCTTTGCCGGAACCACAGGGATTCTCTTAGGTGTTGACCTTTGGGGTTTGTTCCTTAGAGTGGCTCGTTTGCTGGATTCTCTGGGTTTGGCTAACCGTGAGGTTCATGTCCGGGGTGTGTTCTGCGTCCTGGCGGACAGCTGTCTCGGTTCATTCCTCTGTTTGCGGATTGGCCAGTCGTCGACGACTCGTTTCGTTGATTCTGCTGGACGTATGGACTCCTGGCCATGGACGTCTTCGAGTCGGCGTGGTCTAGGCATCGCCCATTCTATGTGGCGCCCTTACCCGCCTGCGAGGCGTTCACGGTGGATGCCTTTCGGCAGGACTGTCCCACCTGCGAGCTTCGTCTCGGCGACAGTATGACGTTCTTGGTGTTTCTATGCACTTTTTCTTGCTCTTCGTAGGTTGTCTTCTCTTTTGCATCGGGTTGTCTTGTCCTTTCTTGGGTTTTCAGGACTACAGTTATTTGATGTTTCTTACTGTCGCCTCGTTTTGTGCGGCGCTGGCGGAGCCGCTCCGGGTTGCGTTCGGGGTGGACGTCACATCTGCCCCTTTTCGTACGCTTTCTCGTGTTCTGTTTCACCTCCGGC